TGTCTCCAAACCCAATTATAAAGGAGTTCCTCCTCCCCTTCCCAGTGTTCAGTTCTGGAACAGATAATAACAAGGACATCTAGAAACTGAAGAAAAGTTTAATAGCCTCTTGAATTAGTGCTGTCCGAAAGATGTGTGAGCAGGCATGGAAGGATTTAGAGAGATAAAGCATTCTCCTCAGCCAGTATCTGCCCCAATCCCAAGCACCAAATCCCCAGATTTAGCTATCAAACAATACCTAATTCTCTGGTGCAATCCAAAGTAATGAGGGTTTGTGTCACTTCCTGTTCTATCACCCTGGGTATCTCACAATGCTTTACTGTTGTAGCTTGTAACCTGGGTAATGCACCGTGAGGCCACCAGCACTCAGATTCTGAGTGTCCATGTATATCTGAAGCTTTGACCTCAGCAGCTTGTCAGCAATGCACCAGTCGCACACTGGCTTCTTCCAGTCTTGTTTACTACTTGCAGGCCAGAGGTGACTAGTGATGAGTGTCAGGGGAGGCCACCAATCATGTGACTCCCCTCCCCTGGGGCAGGACCAGGACAACTCCCTCTCTGTCCCAGGCCGCAACTCTCCCTGGCCCTGACTTAGAACAATGTTTCCTCAGATCTCGTCCCCTTTTAACTCTTCTCTACTTACACTACATCGATAACATCTTTATGATCTGGACCCATGGCCTAGAAACACTGGAGACATTCCACAGAGATTTTAACAACCTACATCCCACCATCAGACTCAGCCTGGACCATTCTACACAAGAGATCCATTGCCTGGACACCACAGTACAAATCACCAATGGTAAATTAGACACCACTCTCTACAGAAAACCCACTGACTCATACAGTTACCTACATGCCTCCAGCTCCCATCCAGCACACACCATACGATCCATCGTCTATAGCCAAGCCCTTCGATACAACCGCATCTGCTCTAATCCCACTGACAGAGACCAGAAACTTCAGAATCTCTACCAAGCATTTATAAACCTCAATTACCCACCCGGAGAAATAAAAAAACAAATTGAAAGAGCCAGACGAATACCCAGAAACCATCTACTTCAAGACAGACCCAAGAAAACCAACAATAGAACACCACTTGTCATCACCGATAGCCCCCAACTTAAACCCGTCCAACACATTATCAATAAACTACAATCTATACTGAAACAGGATACTACACTCTGAGAGGCTCTGGGAGACAGACCCATAGTCTCCTATAGACAACCACCTAACCTCAAGATGATTCTTACCAACAACCACAGGACATACTACAATAATACCAACCCTGGAACATTCCCTTGCAACAAACCCCGTTGCCAGCTTTGTCCACATATTTACTCTGCTGACAGCATTATTGGACCTAACCAATTCAGTTATAAGATCAAAAACATGTATTCCTGCTCATCCAGAAATATAATTTATGCCATCATGTGTCAACAGTGTCCGTCTGCTATGTACATTGGACAAACGTCTCAGACACTTCGCCAAAGAATCAATGCACACAAAACAGATATCAGACGGTATCACAAAGAAAAAACAGTTTCTTGCCATTTCAACCAGAAAGGGCATTGTCTCAATGATTTGATTACCTGCATCCTGCTTCAAAGACATTTTAACACCAGTCTTGAAAGAGAAACCTTTGAACTGTCATTCATGCTTAAATTTGACACTTTACTCCTGGGTCTCAACAAAGATGCAAATTACCTTACCCATTACAAAGATAGCTTCCCCAATTATCACCTCTAATATCATTAGCTCACAGACATTAACTTCCCCCCCATTCCTCCTCTGTTCTGAAATTTGATTTGTCCTTTTTATATGTGTTCACTTTTGATTGTATCCCTTTGGTATATATGGTCATTCCAGTTTTCTTCCACAGTTTAATCTGAGGAAGTGAGTCTGGCCCAGGAAAGCTCATCATCTAATAAACCATCTTGTTAGTCTTTAAAGTGCTACATAGTCCTGTTTTTTGTTTCGGGTATAAGAGATGCAGTTAGAAATGGTTACAAACACAAGAGAAAACAAGCATCTAAAAGTTAATCTAGCAAGGTTTGGTTCAAGATTTTATAGTGGCCTTTCTCACCCATGGGTTCCAAGCAAGATCATGAAGTTCTTTACTTCACCAGGTTCTCTCCCAAAGGCTTAAATTTGTCTTTGTTGTAGATGAACAAGACTGTGAAGTTCTCTATCTTCCCTTTCCTTTTTATAATCCAGTGAATCTTTGAAGTGGATCCTTCAGAGTAAAGTTTATTCAAGTAGTAAGAAAAGCAACATGGAGTCTGTGGGTGAAAGAGGCTCTATGCCCCTCCTTGTGTTCACTAAAATGCAAATTGTTCTTTTTTTTGCCATCTGTTCCCCCTGCTGGTCTATAAATTCTGTCTAGTACTTACATAGAAATTGAGTCAAACACACATTCTTTTGTTTAGGATGGACCTGTGAAACAATTTTTGCCAGTGCAGGGCTATTTGATTTTGAATGTGTTCTAAAAACCTCATACAGGGGAATTCATAACATTAATGTAATGTTACTATGTACATATCACCATATTATTGACAGAGAGTTGTTTGTTTTCAAATGCTATATTACAAGGCATATTTTGTACAAAGATTATTAAAATAGTGTGTACTATGTGGATACATGGGATACTTATGGTCATGGGTGGCTATAGGTGTTCTGAATGGAAATAGGTTGAGAACCCCTGATCTATATGATTAGACTTATTTGTGGAAGTCAGTAGACCCATATTCTAAACTTTGAATGTAAACTACTAGTCAACTACATGATAAGCCTATGCTTATCAAATAGTTGAGTTATCTACTCTCATTTTCCCCCACATCAGAGGCAGCAAGGGTGGGGGAAGCAGGCGCTGGTGCTGGGGAGAGCCAGCTTAAAGGCTGGTTTTCCCAGCACCGTCTCTGCAGTGCTGCCTGCCCCCCTCGCTGCTGCCTCCATCAGAGACAGGAGCATGGTGGGGAGGTTGCAGAGGAGGCTCCCATGAAGCAGCCTCTGCCCGCGGCCGGGCCCGGGGAGGGGCGCCCATA